CCGGTACTCAGGTTTATTTTTGTCCGAATTAACCCGATCGGAAATGTCGGAAGGTGATTTTCAAGGCAAAGACCCCAAATGTCGAAGGGTGATTTTCCTAGCAAAGATCCCATATGTCAAACCCATCAGTCCCATATGAAAGAAGTGTCATTATTTGACAGTACATTATCTGATAATCCTGTGATTCAATTTGGATTATTTTAAGAATATTTTGGTACCAAAATTATTTTAAACAGATTAATTTATAAAAAGTTATTTAAGATTAATAAAGGTTTAAAAAAAATTTATTCAAATAGTAATTCCAAAGATTAACCGATATGACATCTGTAGTAGATAAGTTTAAAAATAGGTATGTGTTAAATTATGCAAAGTTTAATTTCAGGGGTCTAACGCTGTAAATTCTCGAAATAACGGGCATGAACGCTATTTCGAAAATCGTGTCCTCTAAAAACAGATATTTAATTGTGAAATAACATCCATGCGCGTCCTGAAATAATGCGCGCTTTATAATAATTCTGCTCATACAGTATGTTTTTTTTAAGATTCTTCACGGTTATTACGTGCAGACAATTTTATTATATTAATCAATCGTGAAGACAATAAAAAAAAAAAAAAAGCTCATTATCACTGCAGGAACTTCTGCTTATTACGTCAAATGAGAAGACTTCACGATTAGAAAATCGAACTGTTATTTCAAAATAACGCCATGAGTATACTTCAAAATAACGCGCAGATGCCCGTTATTTCGAGAATTTACGGTAATATGAGATGGCCAAATTTTAGATTTATGTATTTAGCGTTATACCGGTCAAATTGTAAGTTTAATTACGTATAAAATTGGTTTAAATAACTATATATTATTTTTTTAAAAAAATTCTTAAAACATCAGTTGATTTAACTAGTCTGATTTAACACTTTAAGATAAAATTTAATATTTATAAGTCTCTAAATGAGGAAATTTTAAATGAGAAAATTTTAAATGGAGAAATTTTAAATGGAGAAATGTTAAATGGAAGATTTTAAATGAGAAAATTTTAAATGAGGAATTTTATTGAAATTATTTGTTGTTCGCACTGTACTATTTTAACTAACGCTAATCAGAATGATTGCATATATAGTGTTTAATAGAGAGAAACTCGAAAATTAGAGATGTCCCTGATATGTATTAACTTTGTGTAAATTAGCAATACATCATAATAACCGTGTATCCTGCTCGAATACTAATAATTTCATATGATTTCGAGATAGGTTTTAATATTTATAATTATTTATTACCTTTAAATAAGGGGGGATTTTATATGAGAAATTAGATTGGGTCGCACTGTACTATTTTAATTTTAACTAACGCTAATCAGAATGCTTGCACACTACGTAATGTCTATAGAGCGAAACTCGAAAATTAGAGATACCCCTGATAAGTATATCAAAATAACAGTATATCCCGCGCGAATACAGTACTAATAAAATTGACCTTTCACGTGACGTTAGTATATCTACCAGGTAGTAATTTATATGCATCACGTGACTTTTACTTTACAAATTTATTATTAATCAACTCCGGCTTTAGACGATCCCTACTTGGGGAAGGACAATATTTTACTCAGAATATGACTTACTCAGAATATGATGTATGATCAGCAATGTTAAATAATATATATTGTACGTACTTCATTTGAACTTGCCGGAATATGAGCCGAAAACAAAAAGTATGCTTATTAATATCGATATTTTTATTATGTAAGTTAATTTATAGATATCGTGTTACACGAATTTCATTAGATACAATACGATATGGGTCTGCATCTAAAATATTGCCTGATCCTGATTTTTCTGATTTTTTTTTTATACTATCGTGTTCAACGGATTTTATATGATTCCGAAAATGCCAGTACATAATACAGTATTATTAGATTATAAAACGAAAAATATGACAAGAAGCCTGTTGTTTCACAAGTAAATTACCGACTAACCAATAAAAACCCAACTTCTGTATTATCGCTATCATCACACAATCTGTTTAACGTCGCATTCGTAACGTTCGTAGCAGTAATATTCGTGCGTACGAAAATCTTCAAAAATAAAATAAATTGCTCAAATGGAGTCTATGCTAGAAGACTATGACATAAGCCCAGTCACTGGGTTTCTTCCTTCAACACCACCTCTACAACGGTTACCCAGCTATTATGAGCCTTGGGAGGTACTACTCGATAATTTTCACGATTTAATGTTAGCAGGGCGTTTGAGATCCTCGATAAACAAGGTATGGTTTAGACTGCTTTGTTATTTGTTCTACTTGCAGCTGTGCAATATAACAAAAGAATATCTATTTTACACCTATAAAAAGTGTTTTTGTACGACTAAATTATTTTCGTTCTGCAATATTAACATACAAAATTAGTTATCGGTCTTGGATACTAGTCCTCTCCAAACTCTAGCAGAATATCATCGCGCATTTTTGGTTCTATCTTCCTTAGCACATGGATATGTATGGGGCAAATTTGACGAAGTTTCAGATGTTGGTGTAATTTTGATTTTTTCTTTTTTTTTCCTTTTTTTTTTTTCATTCTAAATCATATTTCAACATAGAGATTACCGGCTTGTATTGCAAAGCCATGGGTCAAGGTATCCGATTACCTAGGCATTTCCCCAATTGTAAACCACGCTGCTGTCGTGTTATGGAATTGGCGGCTGATCTTTCCAGATGAACCGTTTAGTCTAAAGTTCATATCCAAACTCATTTTATCATTAATATATTTATTTATTAATATAAATACATTTATATTTTTCGTTCAAAAAATATCATGAAAAATATCTAATATCATTTCTTTAAATTATCTTTTTTTCTTTATATAGCAATCTTGCTACATTATTTACCTTTTCAAATACCCCCGATGAATCATGGTTTTATCTTGTTACTACTGCCATAGAAGGATTTGGTGGAAGGGCCATTACTGCAATAATGTCTGCCATTCGTGCTATTAAGACTGGAAATAACCAAAAATTGATAATTGCATTGAGAGACATAAACTCTACCATTATTGACATCAATGCAACTCTGCAAAGGATGCATGAAAAATGTGACCCATATGTCTTTTATCATATGATACGACCTTACTTAAGTGGTTGGGAAAATGAAGATCGCTTACCGAAAGGGCTAATATATGAAGGGGTAGATGGTAACGATGAAAATGGTGATCCTATTTATCGTAAATATGTAGGTGCCAGTGCTGGTCAGAGCGCATTGATTCAGGCATTGGATATTGCTTTAAATATTGAACACTATCCAACAGGGGTTAAATCACAACAAATTAATGGGCACTGTTTTATGAAAAATTATACTTCTGGAAATGGTTGCTGTCTATTTGAATCCAAATATAATAATAATAATTATAAACCACAACAATGTTCGTCTGGCGAAAATAAACAGCCTTATTTATATAAAATTCGCCAAAATATGACCAGATATCACAGGAAATTTCTTGAGGATCTTGCAAAGGTCGCTAACATCCGCAGTTATATCGTTTCACAGGCGAATTATGATTCTAATATCACCATCTCTTCACCTGATGAAGACATGGGAATGCTTCAGGGAACCACCGAAATGGTTCGAACGTATAATGAATGTTTAAATCAAATGAAAATTTTCCGAAGCAAACACTTACAAATTGTTAGTGCATATATTATAATACAAGCACATCGAAGTAAAGGCGAGTTCAAGTATCATACACCAATAAATAAAGGTAATGTGAGATCATTATACCAATTCTAATATTTATTATAGCGGCTAATGTTGAGATTTGGAGTCTCTATTAAACCTATTTATTATATTTTAAATCCTAACTAAAAAAAAGCATTTCAAAAAATGAAAATTTCATATTAAAAATAGGTTCAATTTTCTACATCAGCCGCGATATTTACCAATCTTTACTAACGATACTCTAACAATGCTTATTATAATTACAAAATTCAACTACTCATTTGTAACAGGAATAGATATAGCAAAGAATGAAGTATTTCGAATAGCTACTAACAATGTTAATACAAATAACAAAGAAGCCAATACGAAAGTAAAAATCACTACCACCAAATCCATTGAAATTAAAGGTACTGGTGGGACTAATTTAATTCCTTTTTTAAAACAAATGAGAGATGAAACAATGATTCAAGAGATTCAGAACTTTTATGAATGAAAAATCAATAGTTACCTTGATAAATTTTGTCAATTTGCAAAATTGACTAATGACATACACGTAAGGTTGTATATTTGATCCTGACAATTTTCGTATATTAGATTCGATAAACTTTACTGATGTTGGACTCTATCATCGTAGAAATATTCGAAGTGTTAGTACAGTACTCAGTAAGATGTCTATTAAAGTGGAAATTTAGTATGAAAGGATTGTACTATTGATATAAATAATGTAATAATAATAATGAAAATAATAGTAATAAACTTTTTTTAAACTATTCAATAAAATTTTGATAATTGTAGTAATGTTCCTTTTTTTTATTATTATTAATGTAATGCTTTATAACTATTAAGTCATGTTGCGTTATTATAACGCCACATTAGTCATGTATTACCTCTAGTCGCTATCCTCGTCCTTATTTATCATGTTCCCTATCGTAGTTTTGAATTTTACCGATGCACCTTTTAAAATTAGGAATTAAAAAAAAAAAACTCAACACAGTAACCACCATGCGCTTTTTACAGTATATAATGTTATAATGTTCTATTGATACTGGGTAATAATCAACTATTATTATCCGAGTTATACAATATTAATGTTCTTCTATTTGTGGATTATCATTGTATTTTTTTTTTTTCTCTCGTGATTTTATCTTATTGAAAGACAGACGCTCCTGAGACTACCGATTATCTTATTATTTAATTTCTCCGCTACCCAAAATACTCGCAATCGATACGGTACTAATGATGAAAAACGAGCATTTTCGTTGTGTCTCGGCATAGGAAGAGCATTGTTAGCCATAATTATATACTTCATACATCGTAGATAAAAAATAGAAAGGAAATTTATCAATTGTTGCTTCGAAATTTAAAGAAGAGTAAAGTAATATACTTACAAGAGGAAAGAGAAGTGCGAACACACCAGCACTTAAAAATTGATCAACAAAGAACGTTATCACGGTAAACATAAAACCTGAAGAAAATAATGTTAATGAAGATTTTCTGGTAATCTAAACATACACACTAACAATGAGAAAGTATTACCAAATCCGGCGAAATAAGACCACCTCTCTTCAAAATATCCTATACGTTGTTCTAAAGACCAACCTTGATTAATCCATTTGTACCTATTAAAATAAAAATATAAAGTAAATATAGATCAAGATTCATAATAATCAAAGAAAATAACATACACTTACTCAAAACTATAATAAGCATATATCCAACAAAAATACATGAATGATATAATTGGACCGATAACAGGTATGACATACACTATAGTTGCCACCATCAAATAATTCATGAATAATAATGCACGATAAATCTCATCTGCCATAACTCTTAATGCCCTGTAAAAAAAAAAAAAAAAAGAAAAAAAGCATATATTTAAAAAAAGCGTCAAATTTATAAATTTAATACATAAAAAAAAAAACTAACCTAGGATATGTTCGATGAGAATTTATAGGTGGACGACCATGATACATTCTATAAGCTCGATCAGCTATTTCTTGATACCATATAGCATTCAGTACGAAACTTAGTACAAATATCGGATAGACCCATAATAGCTAAAAAGGGAAAGTTTAAAAATTGAAAAATCTAATAAAGTATATAAAATTCTTTTAAATTTATAGTAGTACTTGATAAGTTAAAGCCACTATGGTATCCAAAATACTAGTAATTAAAGGAGAATATTTGACGTCAGAAGGTTCTCCAACAGCGATTTCACCTCTGTGATTTAGAGCAATAAAAGATTTTCCAAGGAAAAAATGTAAAGTAGGTAAAGTAACGTGGTTGAAAAAAAATATGCTTCCTAAAAAGATCACGCCATTAAGGACAAAACATTTAATGGTACGGTTTTTAATGGTTTGCGATCTGTTTATTAATGAAGAACGTAGATTTAGAAAAGAACGTTTATTTTATAATAGAATAAGCGAGTAAGTAAATCGATTTACCCATAAATAGTGATCAAGCCAGAAGGCCAAGCAAAAGCGTCTTTAAAGCCACACCAAAAATATTCAAGGCACAACTTCAAAGTTTCTATAAAAGACTCCATCAAATGTTTTTACATTTGAAAAGAAAAGTTTTCTAGCGAATTTTTTATGACAAACGCTGAATCGATCACAAGAACTGGATTTATTGATGTCACGAATTACTGGCTTGCCGATCACACGCTAACTAATGTTGTAATACTATTGGTAAACAGGCAAGTATAAAAAAAAATATTTTTTAATTTCTACAGATCCCATACATCAAAACTTCGCCATGTGGTGAATTCTCTGTAAAATAAAATAAAGTCTTATGCATAATGAATACATCACACATAATAGAATACGTATAGAAAAATCGGATTTGGTATTTAAGTTATAACTATGAAAATAAGTTTTTTTTTTTTTTCTTTTTACGCTTTTTTTTTTTTTCTTTTTCTCGGATGCCCGGGCGCAAATTACGTACGTACGTACGTACGTGTGATTAAGAATTACGTTTGCGTAACATACCAGATATTGATATAAAGCAAAAATTGTCAGCGCATAATCATGCATGAATCATGAACATTACACAAATAGGATAAATAACAATCGGAAAACATTTATACAATACTGCAGTACTTTTGAAGAAAGCTAAGGATCATCAGTCTTGTATCACAAATCACCGAAGTGCAATTAACAGTCTATTTTACTGGTGGGTCGAAAGATGGTCAAAACAGAGATTTTCAATTCACATTCGTACCATGCGCGTGATACGAATCATACGCCAAGTGAAAGCTTTCCCACGTATAAGCGTATTGGTGATTTTCTCACTTACACAAATCTTAACGGTTCACAATGTTTAATGTTTACATTACTGTGATATGTATGAATCAACTCCAACAAAATCGAAAACATTTGCTAAGAACAAATCAAATCCATGCAAAATATGATTTATGTTAATCCGTCCAAACTTTGGAACTTAAGTGCTTTAAAATTTTAAATTTAGGCTTTGTAAAAATTGATCCATATTTTTATTACATTAAAATAAAAAAGACCTAGAATACTAAGTATTTGATAGCTTCGCAGCTGGGAACAATTAAAGTGAATGATGATTTTATGGAATCTTCATCAGAGTCGTAAGACCAACATGGTTCGAAAAAGTAATTGCGTTTTGAGTTAGACAAAGGCAATTAAAAAAAAAAAAAAAACATTACACGATGGAAAATTTTAACTAAATTTTTTGTTAAAACAATACAATAAATAAATTAATGAATTACTGAACTTACAATTTATTGTAAACAAGAAAAAAACAAATTTAGTGAGACGAGTCTTTTTCTTTTTCTTTAACTTTTCTTGGATGATTACTAGCTGCCGATTCGGTGGCTGTGTTAGCACCACCAATCTAAATGAAAAGAGAAAAAATAATTATAAAAGAATATATATATATATATGTAAAGCTAGTTTACAAATAAGATGTTGAATATCTTACTCGAACATGGTTGAATTTTGGCAACACCTATCATAAAAGCATAAAATTAAATTATTATTAAATTGTCAAAATCGATTTTAATCAAAGTTTCCTGGTAAAGTTTACCTCGCGAAGATAATCCAAGTGGCGAGCATGTAAGCTTGATTGTTGCTATTCAAATTTTTAGAATTCAATGAGTAAAATGCATTCCATATTTGTTGTTTTGAATAGAATAAAGCGTCATAAATTATACATGAGACCCGAAACAAAACTTACCTGGGACTAGTTTCGGAAAATACACTCCGAAACTCAAAATATAATTTTGGGTATTGGAAATCCGAAACCCAAAATTATATTTTGAAACTTAGATTTGGAAAAATCCGAAACCTTTCCGAAAAGAAAACAAAATTTTTCGGATCACAAGTATATAACTTTTTATTAAAAACTTACGCTTGCGCATGTTGTTTGAGTTCTCCGATTATGATGATCACCGTATATAACAGTATTATTGGGAATTACTTCATCCCTCTTGGTTGAGCAAACGGCACCAATAACGCAATTGTCTCCTAATGACGTATTCCCCAAAATTCTCGCTTTTAAAAAGTTCACGTAAATAAAATTAATCTATATAAATTTTCAACATAAAAACGGTGATATAGATTATGGAATTACCTTTTGCTTCTATTACATTTTTATTCCCAATTTTGGATCCTTCTACATCTAATATTTATTCAACATAAATGAATATCCAAAAGGCAAAGAAAATTTGTGACCGAAAAATAATTTAAAAAAATTACAGCATCCAACTTCAAAGACATTTTCATCACCAATAATTAAAGGTGTCGGTTGTCTGAAATAATTGTTGATGTAAGTATCGTGAATATCGTGAATGTCGTGAATATCCTTGTGTAGAATGTCTGAAAATATGTTACTTGTTTATAATCGTCACATTTTCTTCTATAATGTTGTTTGAACCGATAATAATCGGGCCTGATTCCGCAAGGATCTTACATTGAGGGTGCAAGACAGTTCCTAAGTAGCAAACATCCTAATTCTAAACGTGTTCGTTCTTGGAGAAGACAAAATATTCAAAACATTCTTAAATACCTGAGCCTTTAATATTTAAACGAGCGTTAAAAAGGCAACTACCAGAAATAGGCGTACTCAACAAAATAAACTGTTAATACCTATATCAATTTCACCTTTCATTTCAGTGTCTTGACACACGACAGCCCGTTTTCCGATTGCAAATTGTTCTCTGTCATATGAGAATAAATTATAGTCAATTCACATGAAAACTTTCAAAACTTCTTCAAACAATAATTACTTTGGCATTTTGTTATTTTCTTCCTTTCGTTCAATTATTCCAATTATCCAACTTTCCAAGTTACTCGGATTTTTCCAATTTTCCAATTACTCCGATTTTTCCAAATCTGACCAATAAAAATAACTGATAAACTATCGTAAAACGCGATGCAAGGTACCCGGAAATTTTGCACACAATTTTACTGATCATCAGGGCGCAGCCAAGCCAAGCCATAAGTAAATTAGAATTTGAAGATC